AGGTTTAATGCAAAAGGTTGGCATTTTTCTGCCTTGCATTCTAGCCTTGCCTTGGACAGACTTCCCATTGGGCCTGTAGATGCAATTTTGGGCTTTTATTTCCTGCCTGTGGAACAAGGAAGGAATAACAGCACGTTTCAACCTCGTGGGTGCATTGGGAAGACAAATTCAGCCTTGGTTTTGAAATACACATATACTGTGGTAATTAGAACAATACAATAGCAAATAAACAGAGGAAGAAGAAAAGTACCTAACCCACAAAAGGATTTGGTTGATGTGCAGCAAATGAGATATGGGACCACAGACTACGTGGTGAAGTTAAGAGAAATATTGAGCAGTTGCTTTGCTACACAGCTTTACAAAATGAAATGACAACCTGCAGGAAAAACAGCACAGGCCCCTTTACTACCCAAGAGGGCAGAGCTAAGGTTACAGGGCCTGTAACAGTGTTGTCATTTCCTTACTCCCAGGAGCTGCGTTTTCCAACTTGATGGCTTCCCTAATGTAATTGCTTTTTATGCGATGATTTTTTCAGAGCCTGATTCTTGCCGGAGTAACTCAGGAGGAACCCCAACAAAGCCAAGCAAGTGATCTCAGTGCAAAAATTGTAGGGGCCACAGTGGAATTGGGCATGCTCAGTCCATAACCTCCTTCTCCAAATCCTGCAGCAAATGCCCCATGCTGGAATGGCAAGGAGATATCAGATGAAAACACAAAACAATGACAAACAGTGCATTTTTCAGTAGCCACATCATATTATGTCATTGATGTCAGGTTGAGTTATATTGGTCTGCTTTTCATTATGTTGTGTTATGCCTTTTGACATAATGCAACACACTGTAAGTAACATAAAGTGACCTCCAAGTATAAAAGAGTACACAGTTTTTGTCAGATTAGATAGTGGCTATGAATTCTCAGAGAGGGAGGGGTAACTCAGAGCAGGGCGTTTGGAGTCAGTGTCCTGAACAACAAATGCACAGAACTTAATTAACAGTTACAGCAGCCCTGGCTGTTTCCAAAATGGTCTGTGTGCCTCTGCTCAACAGAGAGAGGAGATTCACAGTGGGATTTGCACTGTTTCATTTGTTTAAAATTCTGCAGAGGTAGCTGTAACAGCTCTCTCTTTCCTGTACCTGTACTGCAGGAGCTCCATATACAGTGAACATAAGACTCACTTGCCTGAGATTTGCCTTGTTGCCAGGCTCCAAAAGACAGTCCAGAGACCAAGCTTAGCCAATGGCCTTTCTGAGCAGCACTGAGTAACCTGTCCTCTGAATGGAATCAGCTGCTAAGAAAATAACTGTAGGGAGAAAAGAAAAGGGAGTCACCGTGGATCTAAAAAGAAGGTGAGCTCCTCATTAATTTAAGGTGATTAATTTAAGGAAAAGTTGGTGGTTCCAGGGAGGTTGTTTCTCTGGAGGGCTTGAAATCCACCTTAGCTTGGCAGTTCTATCTGGTGGCTTTGCTGGAATTAGCTGATGTTCTGCCTTTAGTCCTTGGTCTACACTCCTGACCCACGGGTTGCACAACTGCCAGGACTTGCAGAAAGTGGAGTCCTTTGATATGAAGGCTGGAATACAGCTCTCCTAAAGGGGGATGGTTCCTACCTGTTGGCAGGATATGGAGGATTTCAGTTCCCACACATGTTAAACTGTCACATGTCTTGTGAAGGCATCCACTCAGAGGCAGGATGCAAAACTGTCTGAGTGCAGGAGAAGTGTAAAGCTGTGGTATGAAGTTGGTCTCAAAACTTAGTTTTGCAACAGCCCCAGCACTTACTGAGGTACTTACTGTACATTTCCTATATAACAAATGTTACATTTCCTATGTAGTACAGTCAGCATTAGTGTTTTTTGTGGCCCTGCTGAACTAGGAGAAGAGGCCACTTTTCATTTGGCACCCACCTGGCATCCCATCTCACCACAAGAATTGTCATCAAGTCCTGTCATCTGCCCTTTCAGACAGTGAATGTTGTAGGGATCAGAAACATTTTCAAGATCAGTCTCAAAGATGGAAGTTGCACAGGCACCTGAATGCATTTGATGTGGGTTTCCTGAGCAGTAATAAACATGGAATTTCACTTAAAAAGGTGTTTTAAGATTAAAATTTAACATTGTTAACAGGAATAGAGTGTAATATTTTGTGTGAAAAGGGTGCCCAAGTGAGCAGCAACAGGATATCAGAATCCAATGTGTCACATGCATTTTCTTTATCATTTCTCATTTAGAAATGTAGCATAAATTAATATCTGCTTAATTGCCAGGTGTGCAGCATTCCTTTAAGATGTGTATGGGATGCTGTCCTTGTTCATTAGGGCATTAAATGTTAGAGAATGAGCAGTTCCTTCTCCTGAACACTGAGCAATAATCCAGCTCCACCCTCCATCCTGCCAGGAGACCTGTGCAATCAGACCCCTGTGACACCGACACCCACAGTGCTCTGCAGGACTCCCCAGAGCTACCTTTAAGTATCATTTTGCAGCATCAGAGAGTCCAGAATTAAACATGAAACACTCTTGTTCAGTTCATAAAGAGAGCTGTTACCCTGTGCCTGAGCAACTCCCAAAGAAAGGAGTGGGACACCAGGCTGTGCTTGTGGCCAGGCACACACAGAGACTCCACACTGGGAAGTCTCACTGAGATTTGCAGCCAGGCTGGATCTCAGGAGACTTCCTATTATTATTATTTTCTTTACTAGTAAATCATTATGTTGTCTCCTTCACAGCACAGAGAGTTCAAATAAACCTGTCCCTGTGACAATCTGATTCTCTGAAGGAGTGTCCTGTTCTGTTGAGTCATGTGAGAGGAAAATACAAAGAAGTAGAAAGACAGATCAAAAAGGGGTAGCAGAAAGAGCCCTGGAGGCAGACTTAAGTTTGGTATTTAATATTTCAGGTAAAATATTCACTTAGCATCAATTATCTTGTTGGGTTCTTTTTTTTTTTTTTCCCCCAAATGAAATTGCCTTCTGAATCAGCCAGCTCTCTAATTACCAGATTGAATGATTGAAATTTTTAGGGCAATTAAATTCAAGCCTTTCTTTTCCAGTCCTTATGTTATTCCCCCCTTCTCTCCCTCCTTCCTCCAGTCTGGAGCCTTCCTATAATTTGGAGGCAGTTGCAGAAGCAAGCAGACCTTTAAAGCCAAGATGTATGTCTCCCTTAATTCCTTGGTGGATTTGTTTTATAGACTAGGCAGAGGGGGTTCTGGTCTCTCAGGACATGTGCATTACAAACACACAGCTTTGTGTGGGTTTTATCCTAACATGTCATTGGAAGGATTCATTTAATATAGAAATTCTGTGAAAAGACAAAGATCAATGTAGAAAATACACGTGCTATTAGAAAATGCCTGCAGATCAAATTGGAAAACTAATGAGCAAATTGATGATAATAATGATGATTGATGATCTACTGGATAAGAGAAAACAAATCTCCCAATGAAACAGTACAAAGGTCTGTTAACAGAGCTGTGAGGACAAACTCATGAAAAGATAAGTATTCTGCCAAGAAAGGACACAGAATTCCCAGGATGAAATCCTGGGCCCACTGGACTCAAAGCTGCTGCTCATTTGTGTGTCTTGTTAGGATTAGAGCACTGATCCTGCAGAACCAGTAACCATATTCTCAAATATAAGTATGTGGGCTATTCCATGGATTCCAGTGGGACTATCCCATCCTTGAAGTTAAGTGGATGCTTCACAGCTTTGCTGAGTCAGGATCTGCCCCAGTGAACATGATAAACCTTTATCACAGTGAACCCCCGAAAGTGTGGAAGATTTTCCTCAAAAACCTCGCTCTGAGTCTTTCAGATTTCCAAACCCAATCCAGTGCACAAAGCTGGGGCTGCTCTCCAGCAGGACCCAGGGATTTATTTTCATGCTCTGTTCCACTGAGCATTGGTGTAATGTCACTGGAGTCAGAGCAATGAACACAGCCAGTATCCACAGCGATTTCACTACAGCCAGATGAATTGTATTCTGCTTATTTATTACTTCATTATCCCTGTAGGTGTTCAAGGTGCTTCACAACAGCTAAAGCAGTCCTTGCCCTGGAGAGGATGCAGTCAGATCTAAGATTAGAGATGACAGCACTGCAAGGGGCTGGACCTGGAGAAAGAGCAAGGTCCTTGTTCAACCAGAAACATAAATGCTCGTCTGTCTCAAAGTTCAGTGGATTGGTTAAGCACTGCCATGGCTCAAGGTTGGACTGATTGATGTAGAGAAGTATTTTGGATGCAGGTTCCTGAAAAACCTCCTGTTTCTGCTGTTTTCAATGCTCTGATGTTCTTGGACATATACTCTCACAGACACAGATTAGACCTTTGGGAAATATGATTTCATGTCTGTGGAATTATGACATTTCATTCTGATTAATGTTTTGGCCCATTGTGATAATGCCAGTGGGATGGAATGTTATCCATTAATATCCATGAGCATTCCCTGGGACACACAGCCCTTGTGGTTCCTCTGCTGCCTTCTGTTTCCTCCTGCTCTCAAGGCCATATTCATCACCAAACATTTCTTTTTTCATGTTCTGAAGTCCATGACTCTCCACCAGTTTGCAGTGCCTTGGGATATCACCTCTGGCCTTCAGGCATGTTTGACAGATTCAGAGAAAAGAGACCTGACCTGAGTCACTTTATTGCCCTCTGCAGTGCTTTTCCAGCCTTCCTTCCAGGGGTAGATGCACCTCTGCAGAACCTCAGTCATTTTTCTGGAGCTCTGAATGCCTGCACCAGACTCTGGAGCTACCAAAGCAGCCTGGATTTATTGCTGGTTTCCTCTGCATTTTCTCAAGGACTGTGTTTCTCTCTCTGCTTTTTCAGGTTGCCACGTCCACTTCAAATCTTGCAGTGCCTGCCCCGTGTTCGTTATTTAGCAGCACATGGGAAAGCCCCCTCAGCTCCAGCTTGCTGGGAGTGCTGTACAATTGTATCCCAACTGCCTGCTCCACTTATCTGCTGCATTATTTCTGTGAAAGCAAAAGCTGTGCATGGAACAGATGCTTGGAATGGTATTGGGATCCAATTACTGCACTTTTCCAACCTTACATCTCTTGTCTAAACTTGGAGCAGGCATATTTTTGTTCCTTGGTGACACTATATAAAGAGACAATTGGCATTGTGTTTGCTGGCTGACTGGTTGGCAGAGAAGGGGTGGCAGGAACAGCAGCACCATGGTAGGTTTTATTCTTTCCACATCTCTCTGGGTTTTTTTGTCTGTATTTCTTTCTGACTCTAAATTCAAACAGAGCAGGAATGATCACACTGGACTCCATGAAACCTCATTTAGTATCACATCCAGAATGAAGATACATCCCATAGAGTGAGCTGTGAACTTCCAAGGAATACTTTAATAATTTGTTTAACTAATGGGTGAGGCAGAGAACGTAGATGCACTTGCTGAGGGGAAGAGCTCGTGCATGTCTGTCCCAGACTGGCACAGCAGGGCAGCAATGCCTGGCACAGCTGCTGTGTGCCAGTGCTAAGGTCTGCTCTGGTGGGATGGGGAGTGAGGAGAGGGGTAGCTCTGGAATTGTGACTGCATTGCCCTTGAGACTGCAGAAATGTCTGTCTTGCCTTTGCCCCTCTCACTTGGCTTTTAGCTCTGGGACTCCAACACTTCTGCCCCAGAGGTGCATTGATGTCATTTCAAGGAGCCAAGAAGAACTCCTGCCTAAGGAACAGTGGGCAGATTGGGCAGATCTTTGTCTTCTGCAAATTTGGAGGAATGACTACAACAATATTAAAAAAAAAATAGAAAAAGCTGGTGATTTTCTCTTTCCTTACTTTGCTCCTTTTTGCAGGTCCTTTTCAGGTTGTCTTAAAGCAATGCTGCCCAGTGGCTCCCTGGGGCTGTGGAATATTTGGTTGTGGAGGACACCAGAGAGGGAGCTGTATATGAAAAGCTCTCTCAAAGCTCAGTTCAAACCTGATCCCATTTAAGCAGGTGACGAATGGGATCCACGTGCTGTTCTGAGCAGGATAAAACCCCACTCAAAGTCATTTCTAAAACCCATGCACCAAACCAGGTTCCAGTGCAAGCCTGGGGGCAGTGGTTTCACACTAATCCTGTTCTTCACCACTGCTTCAGAAGTGAGCAGTGCCCTGTGCTGATTGTGCCTCTTCAGCTGTGGATTTACAGGTTTCCCTTTAATCAGCCTCACTAAAGCCTCAGCCAGCCCTCTCGTGGGCTGGGGGGCCAGTGCTGGGTCTTAGGTTTTCTTTTTCCTTTTTTTTTTTTTTTCCAAAATTTTATTTATCAAGTTTTTTTCCTTCCTGTTTAGTTCAATGACACACCAACACTCACTGATGTTTGAAGATATTTCAGGACATTCTGTGATGAAATGCTTAACTTAAGAGATGTGAAAATATAGTGAGAGACTTGTCTGTCTCCTCGCTCCCAGTTCAACTGACGATTCTCTGTGGTGGTTCTTTTCATTGTGCCTTTTGTTTTGGGAAAATATCTTCTGAGGTACCTTCCTATACAGGGACACATGAAACAGATTTAAAATGGAAAGAAAAAAATAGCCTTAATGAAAGAAAGCTGAAGAATATCTTTACATAAGGAAGTGATCATTTTTTATTAATCAGAGGGAAATGTATATGTAATTATGCTAGATGAACTCTGTGGGGAGGTTTTTTTCTCTCTTTATGATGTCTTAAGGGATTTATAAATATTACAGAGGTTTTATAGCATCATAATATTTCAGATGTGCAGTAAAGCTACTTTCAAAGGATTAGTGCAGACAAAGCAGCATAGTAAAAAATAATTACAAGTCAGCCAGTGCTACTAGGCTCTGACATCCAGGGCTGATGAGAGCGAGAGAGGCAGGGTTCAGGGAGATAATTTTTCTAACAAGAGCAGACCACACAAGTGCTGTGGAATGGAGTTCTGAGAACTGTCTCTGGCTCTCCGTTTATTCCAGGGAATTTCAGACAAGCTGGGTCTGTGCTGTCTCCCCGTGTGCTCTGTGCTGACGGGGAGAAGGAAGGGGAGAGGCAGAAGGAAGCAGAGGGAAGCCTTTTTCTTGTTCCCAAAACATTCCTGCGTTGATTTGGTTCGAGTGACACCTCGTAGCAGGTTCTGCCTGCCCCAAAATAGATGGCATTCTGATGTGCTGTTGGGATGTACCACCTGCACTGGGACGGGCACCAGCAAAGCTGAGTGACTTCACCAGCTGGACGGGAGCCAGTTGTGTGACCACTGTGTCTGTGTGTGTGCCTGCACACGTGTGTTCATGTGTGTGCCTGTGAGCATGGACAGAGGGACTGTCCAGCTGTTCCCATGTACATGCCAGAGAGGAAAAACTGTTGGGTGGGAAAAGCAGCTGCCCAATTTTTAGGTCATGGAGGTCGAGGAGTCTGCAGTTGGAGAGGTTATCTGAGATAAAGTTTGGGGAGGTAAAGCCTTCCCTCTGTGTGTCTGCAGGAGAAAAAGGAGGCTGGGATGGGGAAGGGGGTTTATGTGGGGCAAAGGAGAATGTTTAGTGTACAGGAGAGTGAGGCAGCCCAAGAGATTTTTGTACCTAGCAGGGATCAAAGGGGTGTGTGTGTGTCTGTGTGGGTATGTGGGAGGCTGGGACTACACACAAAATGGAGTGAGGATGAGAAGGGAGGATCTGTTTGTGACTGTGGAGTAGGTAATAAAAAGATCTTCTGTTTCTCAGTTCTGATAACGTGGGGTTTATTTGAATGATCTGAGGCTGTTGCCTGTTTGAAATGCAAATTGTGCCCTTAGAGCAGTTTGTGTTTCTTACTCCTCTAGACTGTTCCCTCAAAGGCTTGTTTTTGGGTTGGCCTTGTGCTGCTCACCTGCCATGGAAAGGATCTAAACCACCCTAAAAAAGGGTGGCTTGTCCATAGCTGGGATCTTTGGTGCAGGTGCAGTGCAAATTATCTCAGCAGAGAAAACTCGTGAGACAATAATCACCAAAAATCTTGTCCAGTGCTGCAGAAATGCCTTGTCCAGGCCTGAGATGTAAGTTCTGATTCAGAAGCTGTATTCAACGATAACAAAAATTCAAAGACAGGAAATGTCAGCCCTGGGATCCCAGAGTGGATGAAAAACAAGGGGAGAGTGTGATGAATGAAAAAGTAATAGTAAGTGAGAGTTACCATCATACAGTGGATCACAGCAGGGGACAGAATCTGAGCAAAATGATGGATGATTCTGCCTTTTCTGTAGTCACAGACATAGCTGTAGAGGAAGGAAGTACAAAAAGTGCAAGGCTGGTAGTATTTTATGTCTACCTTGCCTTGGACTGAATAAACACATAAGGGTACAAGACAACAGAATCAGGTTCTTAATAGTGTACACTCCTGTTTCCCTCTGCAGGACCTGCTTATCCACTGGGGTCTTCTCTGGCAGAAAAATTATTAAAAGACAAAACAAGTTGCTTAGTGGGAAAGTGTTTCTGCTTGTATTTCAGTTTTGGCTATCACACTGTTATTTAGAGTATTCTCTGTGTGTTTTAAGGCATGGTGGAGCAAACAAGGAACTGATGTCCCCAAACCAAACCAAAAATGAGGCTCCTGGCAGAGTGCTGCCCCTCTCTCCTGACTGCCTGTGGAAACATTCCTGCTCTGCAGAAATTGCTGAGTAGAGATTGGTTACTTTATAATTACTGAAGGGCAGAAATGTGCACCTGAGCAGGCAGGCAGGGAGCTGTGCCTGTGTTTAGCTTGCAGGAGCTTGGCCTGTTCTAGCACCAGCCTTTTACCAATTTATCAGGGCAAACAACACCTTATGTTCTGAAGTAAGAACCAGGTATATTTATCTCCTTCCTCCTTTACATGTAGAGATATAAACTGATTCACTGCCCCTTTTTCTTTTAGGTCACCCAGAAATCAGAGATTTCTTTACTCTGGTTCACTTGAACATGCACACAAAAATTAATCCCTGGTTTTCTATTCAGCAAGGCAAAGGCCATCCACACTCACTATCTCTGCCTATCTGTGTCCCTGCATACCCTTGTTCTCTCAGGCTCCCTGACAGTGCCAGAGAGGAGGAATATAAAGAACCTCAGTGAAGGAAACTCAGCTCAAAGCAAATGCCTGGTTCAACAGAGTGCTCCTGGGACCGGATTTTGGTATGGCTCCGCTTTTTCATTTAAACCTTCTAAACCAAACCAAAACCAACCCCTCAAAACAGCCAAAGAAGACCCTTTAAAACCCAGGCTAATTGAGGGAGTGCTAACATTAGTAAGACAAATGAGTGATACACGACAAGCCTGCGGTTTCTCCTCTAAAGTGAAGTGTTGTTTTCTTCACAATGGGATGATTAATACACTCAGGCAGGAATATTAATAGGCTTGTTCAGTTGTTGCAACATTCTTCCCACTGCTGTGCTATTGAGGCCTCGGAATGTGAGCCCAGGGGACCCTCAGCTCTTCAGTTCCTCATCTGGCACGTTCTGTAGTCGGTCTCCCAGCACATGCTGCAGTGAGAGCTGCTCTGTCTCTGCAAAGTGCAGCTCAGCACACTTGGTGTGTCACGAGTGGGGAAATCAAGGCAGGCAGAAGTGATGTGTCAGTCACCCACTTGCTCCTCTGCAGGTCACCTCCTGAATCCTTGGCAGTTTAGAAAGCGTATGTCTGCTCAGTTCTGTGATGTTCTTTTTAATGTGCCACTCCTTCAGAGAGAGACTCCGGAGTCAGAATCTCGATTGTGTTCATTAAAAAATGCTGGAGTGTTTGGAATTGTCAGACAGCAGCACAGACCTATTTCTATTCTCTTAAAGCTGCCTTTTAATTCAAGTTACTCACCAGAAAGACAGTGACAATGTACCCTATTCTATTCCTGCTCCACCTCTCAGCCTTCCTCCTCATAGCACCTGCCTACCCACCATTTGTGCAAAATCAGGGTGCAGTTTCTTTCTGTGATTATGAATTTCCTGGCCTTTCAGGGCAGATAAACTACAATACTGGGACCTGGTAGTCCCAGATGCTCTATATATTTTGTGCTAAAAGGCTTAGTTTGACACTGCTGGTAGGAGGCCATTCCCACCCAGCAGCTGTTGTGAAATATATTGGTGGTCTCAGCCCCATTCCACAAGTGAACAGGTCATAAATAAGATCCACACCCAGAGCTTCAGAAAAACTAGAGATAGACTGAGCAACATGGGCACTGATCTCCTCTATCATCCCTGGAGATGATAAACCAGAGAGTACACTGAACAAATATGCTGGGATGAATTTCTTCTAGAATTTCTTCTAGGCTGGAACTAGATGATTTCTCCCAGCCCAAGCCATAATAAGATTCTATGGTACTTCAGTAATTGTTCCCTGTATAACCAGTTTTTTCCTTTGAAAAGGACTTCACTAAAGTAAAGAAACTTTCGGGTGGTTTTTGACTTGCCGATCTGTTTCTGATAGATATTGAGCCACAGCTTTTGGGTTTATCTGATCCTTCCTTACATCTACAATCCTTCCTTAAAGCCTTACAGCACAGAGAACCCATTAAACTGAGGACTAATGGAGGAATTGCCAGTGTTTGGCACTTCCAGGAGCTGGACCCCACTGCCCTGTGCTGTGGTGACAGATTAAAGAGACACAGATGGTTTGCTGCTCTGGGGAATATTTATCATGCTGACCATGGATGCTGCCTTTGGCCACAGCAGAGCAGCCTGTGAGAAGGGCAAAGCATGTTTTGTCTCCATCAAGACCAACAACCCAGGAGAAGAAGCAGCTCAGCCGCCCCCTCGGAGAGCGCGGAGGCCTGAAATCCATTCCCCTGGGAACATCTGCTTCCCCTTTACCTCAGGGAACAAATGCATGGAAATACAGAGGGTTGTTCCTAATATTTCCATTCGATCTGGAAGTGTTGAAAACCTCCACCAGGCACCTCACGTTATGTGGAAGATTGCCTATGACTGCTCCAAAATAACACTTATTTCATGTGGAGGAGGGAATCTGTTTATTCCAAAATCAATATTTCTACATTCATTAAACATTCCACTTATTAACTTCTTTTTTCCATGCCTGTGATGGCATTCTATGCTTGTTTTTATCCTTCTTGCAAATATATTTTTCATTTGATTTCCATTCCTATTTCCAGATTTTAGTGCTCTGCATTAGCTAATTGGAGCTTGACAGGTCTGGAGTGTGGGTATGTGGAAGAGTGCCTACCACTGCCCTAATTTCCCCTCATCCATATCCTGGGATCTAAACCAGGGTGGCTGAGTGCAGAAATCTGCCTGGCAAATTAAATTGATCAGACAATGTGTGCTTCAAACAGAGTCAACTGGGAATATTTCCTTGAGCTGCTCTGCTCCTCAGGATATTTGAAATCAGTATTGAATCTGAACTTTCACAGGCTTTTTTATTTTGATGAAAGGAGACAGTAGAAGTTGCCTTCTGTTTCATGCAGAATAGCCCAAACTAAGTAAGACTAATTTTCTGTGACACGAGAACCAGGTGGGACTATGATAATGAAGTTTAAAAGTAAAAATGATAAAGAAAAAAGTAATCTGTCTGGAAGGGAACTCAAAAGGCAGTGCAGCTCATTATCCTGCCCCAAGTAAGGATAATGCTGTGGTTAAAACATTTCTGTAATCCTTAGAAATCATAGATTTTATTCTTTACTGCAGAACAAGAACTGTATTGTCTTAGTCAAGTGGTTGGGCCTTTATTCAAAGATATTTAATGAAGTCTAGTTCTGACTGATTTTTAGGGAGCATTAGATTCTTAGATATCATTGTAGCTCTTTCCCCAGTCTTGCTCTGCCTCAGCCTCCAGACTACGGAATGTTGATAAAAGCAGTCCTGCCCTTTTATTTAAGATGACTATCTGGAATATTAAAATAACATGGTCTACTAAGGTAATGTGGTATAGAGTCATAGACTGGTAAAATAATATAGGTTTCAAGTGTAGAAGGTGTTCCTGCACAGGAAGGATTAATCTGTTCAGTCAGTGTTGGTCCAGACAGAGCAGATTTCTAAACATTTCTGTGTGAGTAGGAAATGATATAATTTCCCTTTATAGTTCCTGAACTGAGTCTTCATGCTGGTCCCAGCATGGGAACTGGGAAGAAGCAGTACCTGTAGGCACTTCCCTGAACTGCTGGAATTTCTTGAGAACAGCAGGTTGGGAATTCTACCTTATATCTCCAAGTGGCACCATAAGATTACATCACTGCTCCTGAAGCACTGAGCTCTGGAAAGCCAGGGTGGAAGGGGAGGAGTGTCCTGAATCAGATAGTCTGTAATGCCTGAGCTGGAGGTGACTCTGCCCCAGGAACAGGCAGTTCCCTGGGGGGACAGGCAGTGCACCAGTCGTGATGTTGAGTCAGACTTTGGGTCTCTCACCTTTTTAAGGCAGCACAGTGACAGTGTCCTTGTTTATCTGAGCTGTCAGGTTCCAGGAGGGAGTGATATCACTCCAGCAGGGAGTGTTAAAAATCCTCAGTGAGAGCAATTTTTATTATATATATACACACACACATATCTTCAATTCTATTTATGTATATATGTAAGATTGAATTAAAAACCTTGTTATAACAAAGCACAATCCTCTTGTATTACTTGACTGTATATATTTTACTTTCTGTTGAAGATGGAATTTGTTTTCATGGGTGCTTAACAGACCAAAGAATCTATATTTGATCTTCGTATTTGTATTACAGGCTCCCAAAAAGGCAAAGAAGAAGATAGAAGGTGGCTCCAATGTGTTCTCTATGTTTGAACAAACCCAGATCCAGGAGTTCAAAGAGGTGGGTCACTGTGCTGCTGTTCTCTATAGTCTCCTGTTATTGCTAATGAAGAACATAGGCTTTGTTTGTAATCCTTATTCAGTTCTCCATCTGCTCTAATAGAACACACAGTTGTTTTCTGAATCATCCCTGTGGTCTTGGCTGGTGTATCATTTTCCTTGTGTGTTTGTTTGTTCTTTCTTTCATTCTTTCTTTCCTTCTTTCTTTCCTTCTTCTGTCCCCCACTCCCCTGTTTCAAGCTCCAGACTTATTTGAAAATAAGCCCCTGCTCCAAGATAAAGGAAAATTACCATCTCATCCACTTTAGACCTGATTCAGGAAAACACTTCATCACAGTTAAAGTGGTATTTTAAATAAGAATAGTCTTACATGCTCAAGTATTATCCTGAATGGAGATGCCTTATTGAACCAGGGCTTTAATCCGTGGTCTGTTCCACAACAGCAATAGAAAATGTTCTTCTGTGCCCTTCTAATAGTGCCCACAAACTAGAAATGAAAATACCCAAAAGCCCTCAGCTGATTTTCTCCACAAATGCCAATAAATGAAAACATATTGAGATTAACAAAGTACTTTTAGCTCCCAAGGAATTTGGTATTCCACGCACTGCAGATTCTTTGAGCACAGGTAAGAAGGTAAATCTGAAGGGCTGGCATAAAAGCTGGAGCATATTGAAGACAGAAAATCTGCTTGATAAGTTTATGTTCTTTTTCTGAGTGGACATTCTAGAATGTCTGTGAGACCATCACTGTCTGGATTGAGTTGTCATTTTAAATTATTGGCTTTCCCCCCATTTTTTCTAACTCCCATCTCCAAAGCCATTTCTGACGTGATAAATATCTACTGTTTCATTTTGTGCATGTGTCCTTCAACTTTACTTTCCATGAGGATTCCCACCAGGAAAACTCAGTAGTGGACAAGACTAAAACCCACACAAAGGACTGGGAACATGACCCAGCTAAATGGATTGGAACCACTAATCATTTCTCCACAGTTAATGGAAACATGTTTAACACCCTTCTCCCACCTCTTCTCCACATCCTATGAACCTCCATTTGACTTTCTCCAAGGATTCCTGTTTGAAGAAGGACCAACAAACAGAATGCCATATTTGGTCTTCTCTAAACCAGATAATCCTGAGAACATCTCTAGGAGGATGGTGGAAGAATAATGGCATAAAACTCAAGACCATGTTGTGTCTAAAAACTGCATGTTTGGGACAAGCATTTCTGAAAAGCTGGTTTTGATCAGAACATTTTTATCTAGAGATTTCAAGCAGCTCACCAGCAAATGTTTCAGCACTGCTGTTATGCTATTTAAAGTTCACCCATTACAATATCTAATGCTCTTCCTGTCTTCTGTGAGCTTGCTGGGTTTTGCTCTGCTCTTCATATTTCTCCTCTTTTGCTTCCAAACTGTGGGGGATCACCATTCAAAGCAAGCCTTCCCCAGAGAAAGGAAAGCATCCCTAAAGTGTTGGGGTTAATTTTTTATAAGGGGATGGTTTGGCAGGTAAGTGAAGGATTATGAACATGGATGTGGCAAGGAGTCACCTGGGCAAACAGGAATGTGAGCACTGGGGCTTTGTAAGAAACTGGAGGTGAAACTACGTAAGGATCTGTTGATATAACACAACCAGGGAGAGAAATGCACCCTGTAGAGCAGCAGATTTTAAAACTCTGCAAGTTAGTGTTGCTGTATTCTCTGGAGAGCACAGTCTTTCATCATAATGGAAGTAGGAATAATTCCTGGTCATTGCAAAGATACACTCTCATATTGATGTGCCTGTCAGACAGATAACCAGCTTCAGAGACATGCCTGGTATGACCAGGGGAATTTCAGGTCATTAAAATCTTTCCAAATCAATGAAACATTAAAAGTGTGATGGCAGCAAATAGAGGGACACACAAATAGGTAAACAGATAGATGGGCAGTTAGCTGGCTTGGTAAATAATGGTCAGAGAACATCAAGTCTGTGTTGGCTGAAAATAAAAATAAATTAACTGGCTTTTTCTATCAAAAGTTAAACTTTGCCTGACAAGAGTATCTAAGGTCAGCACATCAGGGTCAGTTGGAGTACTGTCTCAAGGATACAGTTTATTGGAAAGGGGAAAAAAACTTTGAATAAATTATCCTATGGAACCTGCATTTCTCTGTACTTCTGAAAATTCAGCTGTCTCTGTATGATGGGCCATTTTAAGTCCCAGAAGGAATTGACTTCAGGTTGATAGCAGAGAGATATCTACAGAAATGAAATGTTTTACAGAACATAACTGCACAAAGAATGAGGCATGGGGAAGGTACAAACACACAGAGCAAGCGCTGCCTAAATCCTCCCTGACTAAAGTCTCCCTAATTCAAACTTTTATGGGTTAAGGCCTGAATGGCTGGAGCTGCCAGCACTGGCTCCAGCCCAGCTGCTCGCTGCACTGAGCAGTAATTTAGTGAGAAGAAGTTTGGGTGGGTTTAATTAAGCCCCTTGCCAACATAGAGTAATGTGTTGAAAGTGAGGAGGGTGCAATGAGGTGGTGTGATGTGGAGGAATCAAAGGAAGTTAAATATTCCTTCTCACAGGATGAATATCATACCCCCCTGGCCTGGTGTGTGTGATTGCAGCACTGTCCTGTGCAATGGTGGTGGCAACACATGTTCCTTTTTCTTCCCCCAGGCTTTTACCATCATGGATCAGAACAGGGATGGCTTTATTGACAAAGCAGACTTGAGAGACACGTTTGCTGCACTAGGTAAACTGTAATAAGTAAAACTAATTGTTCAATACTTGAAAAAAATGCAGTTTCAAACACCTAGGAAAGGTCTGCATCAGAATTACAGTGGGATAAGTGATGAGATACACAGGAGGCAAATGGGAACCTGTTCAGTTTGACCTTCCTCCTGATGGCAGTTGCTGTCTCACTGCAGAGCTCCAGCTGGAAAGTCTCCTGAGCAGTCTCCTTGGGAAGAGGTCTGATCCCTCCCCTGCAACTATTTCAGAACAAGCCCACCCAAGCAGGGGTCCATGCCAGGCATTTCTGATTTGCCTCTGAATCCAGGCTTCCCAGGCTGCACTTTTTCATCTGGGAGCCATGGAATATCCACTGATTAGCTCTGCTGCCATGGACTGGCTGCCCCTCTGCCCACACAAGAGCAGGAGGACTTCATGTGAGGTTCTGTGCTTCATGTGGGGTGAAATGTGCATGTCATGGGATTGGGTATTGTCCATTCCATGCCCATCACAGTCCTGATAATATCAAGCAGATCAGAGCAAATCTTCCCAAGGAAAGGAAAAATTAAAATGCTCGTGATCCCAAACCTGGAGTTGTATCCTCATTGCAACATCTGAGGCTTGAACAGTGATGTAGGCATTTGGGATTTTGCCATCTGGATCTTATTAAAACGAGTTTGATAAGAATCTTTAGTGCTCCCCAGGGTGGAATCAGGCGCCAGCAGAGTCAGTGCAAGGAGCAGAAGCTCCTGAACTCTTTATTGTGACAATGAGGTTTGCAAACTTTGGCCTGTAGCTACTGTTGCCCTGAAATATTTATTTCTTAAGGCCAAGTTCTGGTGTCTTTCCTGTTCAGTGAAGCCCTTCAACAACTATAAAGTACAGTCACAGCAAATTACCTCTCAATTTGAGACGGGTTGCCAGGGTCTAAATTCTCATCAGTGGACTGCACAAGGATGGAGAGGGAATAGGACTACTCAACTCATCATCTGCCCTCTACTCAGTGAGGTGTCTCAATGCACAGGAGGGCAAAGACTGAGACCTTGGATTCACTTCATCACTTTGATCTCTGCTATATTAACATCAGTGGGGCCCATATTTCACCTGAGGTAAAACAAAACAAAACAGAACAAAACAGGAGTTTATTTGGAAGTGCCCCTTCCCTCATCCACTGCTGGCCATGTCTGTGTTATTTATCCTCCTTGCTGCTTCAGTCACCCTTTGATCTCAGAGTCAGCTCTGCCGATTCCTTTGCCACCGGGGTGTTTGGGAGTTGTGTTCTGCCACGTTATTAGCAAAGTTGCACAGAGCCCTGAGCTCCCCAGTGGGAGGAGATGAATGGGAATCGTTTTTTGAAACACAATTTGTGATTTATTATGAAAAATGATCTCTGCTGCAGGTCGTCTGAATGTCAAGAATGAAGAGCTTGAAGACATGGTGAAGGAGGCGCCAGGTCCTATTAACTTCACTGTCTTCCTTACTATGTTTGGGGAAAAGCTGAAAGGTAAGCACCTCTGGGGGATTGGAGAGGTATCTGTCAAAGCTCCTCGGCACTGAAATATCTCAGCACCTTGCAAATTATAATCATGTACCCACAGAGCAGTGCTCAAAGGCAGGGAGTGATCTCCACCTTTGCAGGCAGAGCTCAAGTATGAAAGGCTGAGGGCCGGTCCAGAGGACAGTTCAAAGGTGTGATTCAGCTTAACCAAGCTCACATGAAAGTGCTCAGCTGAGGTCCAGAAAGCAATGAAACCCCAGCAGCCTGGAGCACGGGGAGGGGAGTTCCTCACCATCAGCAGCTTCCTAGGCTGGAGTCAGTTCCTCACAGTGTTAGCTGCTTTTAAAGTATTTTCTGTGTTTCTAGAGAAAAGCCCCTTTTTACACTTCTTTGGCTCACTAAGCAAACATGAGCTCTGCATCCTCCTTGCAGTTGCAGGGCATGAAGAGGAACGTGGGCTTCCCTGTTTTCTGTATTAGTTGTAACCCAGTGGCCCAGCCTTGGTGTCACTTGAAGTCAATAGTGATTTTGCCATTAGATGAAGACTTCACTTAATGAAATAATTAAATCTCAGTGGATTTGCAAGGGTAAGGGAGAGGGATTTTACCCATTGCTGCAGAATATATAGAGATCACTGGGGGTGGTTCAGAAAATATGGGTACTAAATTTGTTGTGTGAGCTGGTAATTTAGTCATCTCTCTCCTGCTCATGGCTAGAAACTGCAAGGGGGGAGTGAAGCCAAGAGAAACCATCATCTTCCAACATGCATTAGAGAAAGGTGAAAGCCTTGACCTTCAAAGCAAGGCTGGTCTTAGCCAAACACATTCCAGAAGTTTGTTAAAATAACTAATGAACAGAAAAATGGAAAAATCCTATACTGTCTTCTTAAAAGCATTTGTTGTATTGTTCCCAGATTCTGGCTCTCCATTGCTGAACACAATTCCAGTGAAGGGCTTTCTGTGCTTGGAGTAGAAAATAGAGAGGTCTGAAAGAAAGAATTCACGTAGTTAGTCCTTGAAGAAATACACTCCTGCTGAAGAGAAGCAGGAGAGGGGATGGAGGAGGCTGCAGACGGACACAGGGGAGGGGATTTTATCACCCAGACATCACTCTGTCTTGATAAATGTGGTACCTCCACCTTTACATTCCAGGTGTCATCTGGCAGAGAAGGTAGTGCCCTCCTCCACAGTTTTCCTTCTGGGGTATGTGACTATTTGTTGTGGGGTGCCCTGCTGCCCATTCCATTTGGGATGCTCACAGAGAGCATGGAAATGAGCTCTTCTTCCTTTCCCTCTTGTCCCTCACAGTTGCTGAAGCTGGCAAAGCCTCTGGCCCTGCCAATTGTGTGGCCTAAAAGCAGAGCCAGCACAGGAAGGTGAATGGCAAAGCATAACCCTCTTGTCTTCAGGTTTCCTGTTGGCTACTTGCAGGGGAGGAGGGGTTTTTTAATTTCCATTTGGTGAAGGGAAAATCACAGCTGTGCTTGTCATGCCCTTCTAGTTGGGTTTGTCATGCAAAGGAAGCACAGCCAAAAGACTGCACATTCCCAATCAAAACTAATTGGGATGAAGAGCCTTTGTAGTGCAATTAGAAAGGGAGAAAGGGCTAGAGGAAGTGGATATGGCAATTTTGCAACACTCTTTATTAGCTAAGTACCACTCAGAGAATTTGGTGAAAGGTGCTTTCTAAGTAAAATTTGTTGTGCTATAATTGATTTCTGTCATAAAGGGGAAGCTGGGATTTTCAGGATGAGCTTTAGCTTTGTATGTTGAGATTATGATGCCAGATGAACAGCTAACAAAACTCGGTTTATGTTAATGCCAACCACATGGAGCTGTTTCTACAGGGAGTCAGAATAATACAATTTGTACAGAAAACAGAGATGCCGCACATCAAAGAAACCACTTTATTTACCAGCTAATCAATAAAGAATGCCTGCTGCATTGCTTCTCTTCAAAGCCAAAGTCCAAGGATATGACAGAGGAGAAAATGTAAAACACAGTGAGGGAAAAAAAAATCCCCCCTACAGTGGTGAGCAGTTAAAATGCAGAGCTCTCCTCGGAGCTGGGGGACGTTTCTCTTCGTGGGACAATCAAAACATTGATTAAACACCAATGCTCTTTGCATTGATCACAGATTCATTGCAGTTTGAATGCACTGCCTACACAGCTTGGCCAAAAAAATCCACACGGCCAGTGCGTGACAAGGAGGAGGCCGGATAGGCCAAGGTTTGTTGCTGTTCCATGCACCAGGAGAGCACCAATCCTGGGGAAATCTGAACAAAGACTACTAGGAAGGCATCAGGAGGCTATGCAGCCACTAGAGCAGGGAGCCCTGGCTGGGTTCTATCTGTGCCAAACTTTGAATCTGCAATTCTTTGTGTTATATCCTTTTTTAATCACTCTTTCGGTGTTTCAGTTTCCCAAGTAGCTTCATTTGTCCACAGGGTCAGTTTACCTGCTTGTAACTTTGGTTTCCTACAGCTGCAAAGATTTGTGTTGTATATAAATACCATAATATTTTGAAATATTGTGGAATAGTCAGAAACAGAGTATACAGTGTATCCTTTGGAGTGGGTTGAGGCTGTGAGTGTACTGAGAATCTGCAGCATTACAGCACAGTCACAAGCCCCAGCCAAGATTAAGGCACTGTGAAAGCAAGTCCCTGACACAAATTTTTTCCAGTCCAAACAGAGGGAAGAAAAGGAAGACCATTACTATCATTTTACTGCTGGGAATAGAGGGACAGGGATATTCAAGTCATATCAAAAATCTGTGGCCCAACTAAGAACAGAAGAACAACCTCGGAGCCATAGTCTGGTGCTTCAAACCACCCTGTTTCTATGTGTCACACTTAATGAGGAGATGTTTAGGGGGAAATAAGTGCAGATCACCATTTTACATTGATCATCCTGTTTCCATTGGCATTCGGATTTTATGATGAGCTCCATTTCCTTTGGTGAGGCAAATAACCTCTTCTCTATATAGTGAAGAACAAGTAACATCAAAAAGTGTTTTTACAAGGAACGTGCTGTACAAGATTAAAGGAAGCCAGTGAGGGAAACAGTTTGTTATATTTTCGTTTCTGAAAGCCACTAATCCTCTGGGTACTGATATTGGAGACCAGTTCCTGGAAGTTTTCTCTCCTGCAGACACAGAATAGATATGAGTTATTATTTTTAAGCTTCTGAGCATTGAACTATTCACCTCTATTGTTTATCTGACATGACAAATGCTGCCGACTTAAGGAACCTTTGTCTTCAAACCCACAACTGCAGAATTCTCCATTTTGCACTGTTTTCAAGTGAATGCAATTACTTAGCAAGTGTTCAGCAGCTAGAGAAATACATCCAGGCTCCTAAATTACGTTTCATTAATTTTAGGCACGGACCCAGAAGAAACCATTCTGAATGCTTTTAAGATTTTCGACCCAGAAGGAAAAGGCCGCATAAAGGCAGACTAGTAAGTTTATTTCAGATCCTTTGAAAGAATAACAACAATCCTAATAATTGCACCATACTAAAGAACTGCTTAAAAGCTGTATTTTTCATGGTGTTTTAAGAGACAGAGGAACTGTCAGGCAAAGGAACATTTAGCTTTGTAAGCTGGAGTTAAAAGACTGGACTATTGTATGAATGTATTTGTATACCAAAAAGAGATGTTATTGTCTTCAGACCCTGCAAGAGGCAACGGAAATATAATCACATGTAGGCCATTAGATAGCCTTTTTTTGAAGGTCTGGGTATAAATCAACACATGACTCTTTGTAGATTAACTCCATATGTCAAATTAAAACCAATGTCTGGTGCCTAACTCTCAGAGTGCTTGACTCAAATGGGAAGCTACTCCCCCCTTAAAAAAGTGATCAATTTAATTAACTCTGTGACATGGTTTTAGTGCAGGACATTTTCCTTTTTATGTGTTTATCATTTGAGCCTTCTGCCTCCAGATGATAACTTGCTGTAAAATTCCACTAGGATGGTGGGAGCCAAACCTAATAATACTATTAATAATCTGGCAATTATTGTCAATATGGCTATTTTTAAAATAAGGAGGCAGGGCCTGATTTGTATTCATAACCTGTTGCCCCAACAAAGCAGTGTAAAAGGACTTTAAGTGCTAATTGAACAAATGTAAACCCTCATTGCACTGCCAGAACAGGACTTCAGGTAAGTGAGATAAATGATAGAAATGATATCAAATCAGGGCAGTGCATGGGGAGGTCTGACCTATGGCTCCAGAGAAATGCTTTATGTACCTAGATTTATGCATATGGTTAAATTTTGTGGTGAATTTGGGGTCTACACTTTTTTGCAGCAGCCATTTCAGGGAGATTTTATAAAGCATGATATGTATAGGAAATTTATTAGGGAACCATGAGTTACAAAACTGTATTTGCCTCAATTAATTCTGCAAATGTTGTGATAACCTCTGAGTAGAATCCCATGGAGGTTTCCATGATATTATCTGCAATTATTGATGTCTCCTGGAAGTCAGTTGAAAATATAATATTCCCATACAGTATTTCTTTCCTTTCCCAATGTGCTGTTCTGTGACACTCCCCCAGTGGGTGTGAGAGCCATGCTATGGTGTGCAAAGTGCAAAATAAAAGCAAGGACACAGTTTTTTAACTAAAAACTTCCAAATTAACTAAAACACAAGTGGATGTAGCAAACAATCAGAAGGAACAGAGGGCTAACAGTTGTCCTGATGGTTTTGGGGCTAACATTATCCAAGCAACTTGGGAAGAACAGTCAGAGGATCATATCATATCAAACAACCAGAATAAATGTAGCCTGTTGCCAGCTAGGGCAGATCACAGGGCAGTGAAATCACAGCTGTGAAATATGAACTTCTGATACTACAAACCCCATGAAATGTTATATTTCCCACCACTATCTGTAACAATATCCTGCATACAAAATCTGCAGCTTGCCACCCTCTGTCCAGCTCTACATTCCTTGGATGCTGGAAGCCAGTTGGAGTTTGGGGCAAATCAGGAATGCAGCATCCCACTCCAAAATGAAGATGAGAGAGAAATACTTTTATTTTTCCTTGATGGAAAAGGTCAACCTTGTCCCCACCCCCACTGCACCGCTAACATTAGACAATTGTTTTAGTTCATCACCACAACAGAGCATAATGTTTACTTATTAGACCCGAGGGTAATGTTGATCATTACAGAACAAACCATTAAATCAATTCCGTGAATGTCTTTGAGGTTTAACTTCTATTCATATGCTTCCAAAATTTAGACATTTGAAGGTTTTGAAATAATTTTTCTGTTGGCTCACGCAGCCGTTTCAATATGACTGTTAATGTTAATAAATAATATTTCTCCATATTAAAAAAATCCTGGAATGTTTCTCTCCAAAACCCGCCATGTTGACCTTTTAATCAGAACTTCTTTTTATGTTCATGGAGTTAACATCCTTCTGGGGATTTTTATGTCTCTTCCCTCTGCGTGTTTTCACCTCTAGTCTGGAAATGACTCACTTAGTCCATCTGATGGTAGCTGGGATGGAGCCTTCAAACCTTTCCAGAAGCTCCAGGAGTTTGTAATGTACTTCCAAATTCACTGAGGGACTTTGTTTGCCTGCATCATTATCCCCCACATAAACCCCTTCCTAGAGCATGATGTCAAAAAGAGAAAATGCTTTCGGTCGCATTCTCAGCTGGTGTGAACTGGCACAGTGCTTGGAAAGGTTGGATGATTCAGTCCCAAATGCCATTCATGGGACAAAGTGAGTCAGGCCAGCACCAACTCTGCCCAGTGCAGGTGCCAACAAAACTGTGCCCACTTGGAGCAGGAAAATGGACCCAGGACCTTTGGAGGTTCCTGTGCCTGAGCCAGTGATGTCTCTCATCGTAGCTGTGGAGCTCTGCTCCTTTCAACTCACCTGTTTTTTCTCCAAGACACCCCAGTAGAAAGGGCAAATCCAGTGGAAAACCAAAATGTCCTGGAGATTTTACAGATAATTTTAAAAAAGGTTCTGAAAATATCAGACTGCAACAAGGTATTTGTAACTGTGGAAGGAGCTGATGTCAGCCAGGACAAGAGATAGCATTTAGACTCCTGCCCCAAGGCACATGGATATTCTTTTTTGCCCAGAAGACTTTGGGTTTGGTTTGATTTTGGAGTGTTTTTGAGAAGCAAATAGCCTTTATAAAGAAAGCAAGATATACAAAGAAAAAAGTCCATAATTTCTGGCTTTGGAAATTGTGAGTGTTTGTTTCCCTATAAAATAAATAATGGAAAATGTGCATAGATCCTTTACTCAGTCCTTCCTCCTGATGAGTGTGCCAGAGCCTACTGGGCTGTGCATCAGAAGATTATAATTAGATATTTGATCTTTCCCCCTAAATACTTTAAGCATGTGAATGGAAGACACACAGTGCCCAGATCTCTTTTTAATTCAGTCCTGTTCGTGATGAAGCTTATTTGTGACTTCTGACAAAATTGCTCTGAGTGCTTCCTTCTATTCCCCAAGCTCCTTCCTGGATCACACTTCCCATTTACATTTATTAATGCTGTTTGCCCCCCTGCACAGGTATCCAATAATCAGTTTGTGCTGAGGAGAGCGAGGCCTCTACTCTTGCACCTACTGCTCAGTTGAGAATTTGACTTCAAAAACACACCCTGAGTGGCCCAGGGACTAAAACACAAACAGCAATTTGAGACAAAGAGAGGTGAGGAAACTTTGCTAAGTAAAGAGAATGGTGAAGTAATTCAGGGAAAATATAAACAACAGCTTAAGCTCTGTCTGTGACTTCAGAGTGTTTCCCAAAACTTGCACAGATATTTTCACACTTGTCCTTGTGAGTAAGATCCTTATTCACTACCCAGAAACTTTTTTTTTTCAGTTTTCCCTTTCTGAGCTTCCAAATGAGCACTTCCTATCAACAAGAAGGAAAAAAGAGTCAGAGCTCTGAGGAAGAGCTGTTGTAGCTTTGCCATCCAAAGCACACTTTTATCTGGGTGACTTTTCCCACATGAGATGCACAGTGTATGGGAGCAGAAAGGGGAGATTTACCGTGTTACCTGAACATCTGCATCCACAGTAGGTGAATTTTGCTCATCTGGAAGTGTTCCTGCTCAGGCATGATTTCTATTACAAATAGTTTTAAATATTCCCTTTCAGAAGGAGGAATAAATACTCCCTTTAAAAAGCAAAAAGGGCTGCTTTCAGAAGAGCTATTGCTTTCACTCTCCCCCAACAAAACCTTCAAAAAAGAAGCCTTTTTTTTTTTTCAAATCTACAAACCAAACCAGATTTCTATATTTGCTTCAGCTTTTGTTTTTGTACAACAGACTGCTCAGCTGTTATCACAGTTTTTGAGTTTGCTTTACTGATCTAGAAAAACTTCTGATGATGTATAAATACCTTTGGTAGTAACAAAAGGAGACAACTCTGCCTGTGCAGCGTGAATGCAAACTGTGAGATTAAAAAGAGAATTCTTTTACAGGAAAGGGAAATTCTTGGTGCAAGTGAAAGGGATGTTTTGTGTGATGTAACCAAGTTCAGGTGGATGTTGCAGCACATGGTGCATGTGCTGCCCTCAGCACACGAGGAACTGGGTAGGATATAAAGACATTTTATCTAAGGGGGTTAGACTAGAAACAGAAATCATCTTCCAGGCTTTTCTGTTCACCTATAAACTTAGGTAAAAAAAAAATAGATACTCCACTGCCTTCCCACAATGGGTTTAAAACAGAAGGTAAATCAGCTGAGAGTCAGCCCCCAAACTATTCTCTTTGATGTAATTGCAGGGGATGCAGACTGTGTGTGGGATAAGCTCCTTGTTCCAGTGCTGTAACTCCAGCTCAAGACACTGCACCACAGAATACAACAGGTCTCATGCAGTTCCACAGCCTCCTCTGGGAATGACTGCATGCAAATAAAGGGATTCACAGATGATGATTTGGAATAGCTGCTGGAGTTCTCTTTCAAGTCCTCTTTCTCATTGCATGCTCTGTTCCTTTCATCCTCGGGTTTTACAGAAAATATTCTCTCTTTTGGTTTTGTTAAGTGATCCGAACTTTAAACAGCAAGTGAGAAAACCTACCACTTTAGGTTAAGATAAGCATACAAAATTGCTGTATTTCAATTAGAGTAATAACCTTAAACAATTTTAAACCTCCATAAAATGTCACAAAAGCGAAATAAGTTGGCAGAGCGAGGCATTGACACTGATGGGTGCCCACAGAAAATCTCTTACAATATCGTGTAAGGATTAACAGCTCTAATTTATGCGGTCACACAGATTTCCTTTCATGCAACTTCAGGAAGGATCTTGCCATCTGAATTGTCATGTGCCATTATCACCCTTTAATCAGGTTATTTCATTTTATTTGAACAGCATCAAAGAAATGCTGATGACACAGGCAGACCGGTTCAGTCAAGAAGAGGTAAGGAACTGCTTTATTCAAACCAGAAATCTTTCTCCAGCTCCTGTTCAGCACTAAGTCTTTGCCCCTCTTTAAATGCATGAATTCAGCTGAAATCCAGACTGAGGGAAGGTTGATGCCAGCTCTAGCAATTAGTAACAATTCAAAGCCTCTCTTCTGAAGAGCTCCATAGCTAAATCAAAGTCAAAGAGATTCCTTGGACTCCCATCCAAGTTAAGCGTGGCCCATCTCGTGCTGTTCTTTCCTGTGGTGGGCTGGGCAAGGGATTTACTGCAGCCCAAGTGAGTTTGGGTGAGGACTGTGATCTGGTTTCCATTTCTGTGAGTTATTTTGTTTGAAATCTGAAATGACTTCTGAAATGAGGTACTGACTTTGTGGTTTGTGTGAGACTGAACATGGATTCTGCTGGCTGGGGGGAGTTCAGAAGGACTTTATTTTCAGAAGAGGAGATTGAGTGGAGTTGGTTTGTGGCAAGAACAGACTGGACAGCCTGTTCCAGTCAGAACAGCAAACTGGGCTGGTTTTGACCAGGGCTTACCTGGATTTCTGGGAAAGCTCTTTTCAACAGGGATCTTGTTGGGATTTGAGCAGGACTTTATTAACTAGTTGTGTTCTAATTCCTATTTCAATTTTACTGAAGCTAAGGAAAAGTCTTCCACAGTGGTTAATGGCTCAGGGCAGCAGGGAGCTGACCTGGGTTGAAAAGGAAAAGCTGCACATGTTGCTGTCCCACAGTCCTACCTTTGTAACACTTATCTCCTGTTTGCTTGGCAGATCAACCAGATGTTTGCTGCTTTCCCTCCAGATGTCTCTGGTAACCTTGACTATAAGAACCTCTGTTATGTTATCACCCATGGTGAGGAGAAGGACTAAGAGCAGAGAGATGAGCTTCTCATCTGGTGCTGCACCAAGTTATTTCATAATGCCTTTGTGTGCAAGACAAAGGGCTGAACATCCAGTATGTGCAGCCATGTGGTCATCAGAAGAGAACCAATAAAACAATTGAAATTAGATTAAAGATATTTAATGCTCCTGTTTTTATAATAATTTAAAATAATAATTTTAAAATATCAAAATACCAATTTTGTGAGGGTTTTTTCCCCCATCCTTTTTATTCTCCCTGTCAGTGGTTTGAAATGGAATTTTGTTGATGAACTAGTGCTTTTTTGATTTATTGACAAACCTAATGTTCACCAGATGGTCCATTGGGCACTGCAGTGTTGCTTAACCTCTTGTCTTTTATACATAAGTTCCATGTATTAATTGAGAAATCCTCTAACTTATTGCACCAGGAAGAATATCTGGTAAATAGAATTATGTTCCATTTCACAGCCCCTAGCAATGAAAGTGTAAATAAAACAATCTTAAGCTCTTGTGAATATGCAATATGCCCTCTCCATCTCAGTGATGTGGTCAGTGTTACAAACCACTTCACTCATTTGCTTTCGTGAAAGAGAACAGAAATAGTGGATTATTGCCTATTTTCCTCATAGGAAAATTTACCTGGGTGCACTCAGAAACCAGGAATAATGAATTTCCCCCTTCAGAGGCTCCTCTATTGTGTGTGAGAGGTTGTCCATGAAATAATAATAACCCCTGGTCTGTCACTCCTTGGCCATTCTCCTTGTCTTACAGGTGAGGCACACACTGGAGGCACGTGTTTAACCCAAGATCATCAAGTCTAGGGCCAAAGAGAGGGATTTGGGAATCATGGCCCAGGGTGAGACACAAAAGCAAACTACCTCTCACTTCAATAACCCAAGATCAGCCCAGTTTCTAAAATGGTCTGCAGTTTCTTGTATTTAGACTTCTAGGAATTGGACATATTCTGCCTTGTGTGGAATATTGCATGAACACTTCCTGTGTGGGAGTCAGGAGGACGTTGCAGCCAAAGGAAAACAAGCTTCTGCTGTTTTAACAGCTAATGAAAATGCTTTCCTTGTGCATCAGTGCTGCTGGCACCACAGACACTGAGAGGAAGCAACAGGTTTTTATTTTCTGTTTCCATCTCAGCCTTTGCAGCAGGAGAACTTGAGGGCAACGTGTCAAATTCTGCCCTCATCAGGAGGGACAGAAATTCCATGAAAAAGCCTTAATATCTGCATGACTCAGGGATGTGACCTTCGTCCCTACCTGCATTTTCTGTTGTTCCAGCAAACCCCTGCATTCAGTGCACGTCAGGAATACAGAACAACTGGAATGAGAAGGCTTTTAGCAGACAGAAAGTTCATAAAATAAATCTCACCCCAACGTGCAGAGACCCTGTGCATGCTCCTGCACCAGCAATGTTTTTCTCATGTAACAAGTTGATCCTCAGTTGCATCTGCTTGTAATTATCTCCCTTATAAATATCAGTGGACACAGCTAGAAGCAAAATTCAGCCTTTTCTTGCATGAATCTTGCTGGAGATGTGGAGAGGGCTTTAGCACTTCTTGCCACATGTTCCTGGAACATTTGAAGAAATGAATAATCAAACAGACCTGTCCCTCCCAACACCATGTGCAGCTTGACTGGGCTTTGCAGACTCAGAAAACTTCCTGCCATGCAAGAGTCCACATGACCTCTTCTTCTACCCCAAGGCTCAGGAGCTGAGCTTTCCTCCACCAGCCCAGTTCTTATCCCTGTTTCACACAATGCCTCTTTTCTCCCCAGAGTGTTTTTATTCACAGGTCCATGACCACTGCTGGTGGGACAGGGTTGTAGATCAGCAGCTGGAGGTCATGGAGGTAGAAAAGATGATTTATGAGCTTCTGCTTTAGGCTCTTACACAGACCCACACAAGTGACAGCTCTTCTCAGCAAAGAACTGCTGCTGATGGGAGAGGGCTGCAAAATGGATGTTTCTTTTACAGACTTCATGTGGAAATTTCTTGAGAGGTGGGTCTGGAAAATGCTCCTCTCTGGCACAGACACGTGTGCAAAGTCCAGTGCTACCTTGTATGAGCTCCACACAATCACATTCCTGGCCAAATGAGTACTGACTGTTCCACTAATATGAGCTGTAGTCGCTCAGGCATCAGATGTCAGACAGTGCTTATGGTTTTTACACTGTTTAAAGATTTCAGAATGAGACTGAAGACTAGATGAGATGGCACACAGGCTTACCTCTGGCTTTTAATCTGGAGAGATTTCCTTTTCCTCATGCAAGCTGGTAGGCAAAAACTTTGAGGATAATGCTCTTGAAAGATGAGGTCACATTTTTCCATCGAAGCATGCACAGTTTTTGATGGGTCCTTTTTCACCTGTAACTGTTACTTGACTTCTTCCAGTGCAGCTCTGTGACATCTCAGGCTGGTGGGAGTCTGGTCTGAGCAGTCCCACACTCTCCCCCTCCCCTGGCTGCACCCACTCCCTCCCCCTGGCCAGCACCAGAGCTCATGCACACCCAGCAGGTGCTGACTGAGAAGAAACCTCATTGCTCTCTAAATTTCCTTTCTGGGCTCTTGGAGCTGATTACCACCTTTGGGTTTGCCTTGTTTGGACATTGGTGAGGTCACTGTCCTGGTGCCCACATTTCCATGCCCTGCTGCAGGCTCCCTGTTCCTCAGGGAACAGCTGCTCCCTAACACCTGCAGAGGGGCAGGGTCATGGAGCTGTGGGCAGGATGGAAAATAAGACCACCTCAGTGTAGATTAGGTCAAGCCAGACTTTATCACAATGAGTGGTTTGTTTCGAAGCAATTTTGAAGCAAATTACTTGATTGTCCCTACTTAAAACCTGGGTAGCTTTTTTTGGAGGAAGCTCAACCAGAGGCTCTGCTTGAAATTCAGTCCAAATTCCCTCCAGTTCCTGATGGGGACCAAAGCAGGGTGCAGCTGTGATGCCCTCCAGCAGCCACCAAACACTGATGCACCACCACAGTGCTCTCAAGCACCCAGAGCTGCCACAGCACTCTGAAGTGGTTCCTGGGCTATGCAAAGCCCCAGCTTCCATCTGATTCTACCTGCCTTCAGGCTTTTTGTACTTCTGCTCCTTCCCTGCTGCTGCATTTTTGTCTTTGTTCAAAATGCAGAATTTTGGCACTTCCAGGGCAGTGCAGCTGAGGTGCCTGTTACAGATTGCTTGAAGAGATCTTTGGGTTGGGCTACACCACCAAACTTGTGCTCCTTTGGATTTCTGCACCTTGAACCATCATGCAAGAGAGTCTGGAGCTGTAACACTCCCATTCTATAAGGGAGGAACATCTTATCATGCTCATATAAATATAATGAAAATATTAAAGATTCTTAGAACAAACCTGTATCAATCCCAATTTCATTTCAATCTCCATTTTCACTTGGGGACATAGGGCTGTGCTCGTGGGGTTTGGGCGCAGATTCAGATAAGGGGAGGGAACAAAGAGCTGAGATTAATTCCACAACACAGATTCTCACCAAGCATCATTAAAATGATCAGATGGGGACTGAACTCACATGAACTCTGACAGTTGCTCTTCAGTGTCAGCCCTTTCACAAACAATTCCTGTTTGGATGGGAAAAAACCCAAAGAAACAGTGTAGAATTGATAATGTGTTTTATTAACTCTTAAATGTTTAATCCTGTAAACCTTCCTGAAACCTTGTGAAAGGGCAGAGCAGCCTTTGAAATACAGTCATAAAAGGCAGGGAAAGGTTCTCATGAGTTCCCCCAGCTTGTTGTTCTGCTTAGAGGCAGGATTGTTGTTAGAAACGTTTGTCTGACCTGTCTAAACTTTCTAGGTAGCCTCAAGTCCAAAGCTAGCCTTAGATTTATGCTTTCCCTCCCCACTCCCATCCAACCTAAATCTTTCTGTCTGCAAATTAAGCCAATTTCATCCTTTGCATCCTCTTTGTAATGACGTGAGCACAGTGGAAGCCTGGTTTGTTTTCTTTTTTCAGCATTCTTTTTCCAACTTTTCCTCTCAGTGACCTTTTCTCCTCTACTAATTCTTCTTGCTCTCTTTAGGATTATCTTAAATTTCTGCCTATTTTGTTTTGAAACATGGTATGCCAACTTGGACACAAAATGCCAGCACCAGGAAGAATGGAATAATTATTTCAGAGGTGGGTTGTCTGTAAAACAACCAAACAAATCAATCCCCCCTGTGGTGCAGCAGCACTGAATGTATATTTCTAGGCAATGTGGGTAAAAGTTTATTCCAAACCTCTGTTTTTTAATAAGTGCTTGCTTCTGATCCCCCTGTAACTTCTGTCTATCCCAGAAACTTCCTCAGATCTGATTCCCTCTGCCTCTGCTACTTTGGTAATGTGCCAGCCCAGGTTATCTAAGGACATACTTTGAATTTTCACTGATGTTAACAAGGTGTAGATGGTCTGGAGTGCCTGTTTTCTATTTGAAAACAATTGCAAAACTATGTAACATTTTCATTAATGACCTGGGCGATGGACTGAGGACAACAAATCCATGCTCTTCCCAGTGGTGTCCATTGACAGGATTGAAATACAGGAAAGTCCATTTAAACCTTTTTGACTGTGATGGTGATCAAATATCAGAACAGGGTGGCCACATAAGTTGTGGAGTCTCCATTGCTGGAGATCTCCCACCCCCAGCTGGATATGGTCCTGGGAAACTCGCTGTGCCGATGCTGCTCTGAGCAGGAGCTTTGGTCTCCACTGTCTCCTGTGGTGCCTTCCCACTTCAAAACCCCTGTGGTGCTGTGATGTTACACATGTCAGAGCTGTTAGCACAGCCCTGGTGACACTGGCCTTTCAGTGGGTTGACATGTGATCAATCTGTGCTGCCCTTTGAACCTCAGATCCTTTCCTGAGGAACTACAGCCTGACCAATTACTCTCTGAATTTTACTGGTGTCTTTCTTCTAACATGTAACTGATCTTTAATTCCTTCTCGTTGACTTTATATCTTCCCTTCAATTTTAAGGCTGTTTGAAATTCTATCCCTGTCCTCCCAGCTCCACACAAGTTGCCTCAGCTTACTGTCCATCATCCACAAATTTTGTGTGTTCTTTGTTTTGTCCTCCAAATTGTTAATATTGAACAATATCTCACCCCAGGACGGTCTCATCCTCCTCCTTTTCCTTCTCCCTTGTCATCCTTGAAATGTCTCCTGATTTTATCAGTGATAATTCATGTTGGACATGTTTTTAACTGCACTCCACAGCACTGGTCTTTAACCTGCCTGTAGGCAACAGTACAGAGAAAGTGTCTCAGTTTAAACTCAGGTGGTCACCAGCAAAACGTTGTGTGTGAGCCAAGACAGCCACACCTAAGTCATCCTATGATAATCTGAGGATTATCATTTCCCACTAGGAATGGGGAAAACCAACAAAGCTGGTTTCTGTGCAAGAGCAAATCCACTTGGATTCCTAAAGGAAAACCCATGGCTTGCACCAG